ATTTTCTCTGTCTCTCTTACGACGCGTGTTCCGACACTACGGTGTCGATATACATTCTCCCCATCCGCCTTAGTAGTCTTTGTAGGTATCCGGGCTTCTGGGTGAAGTGGTCTTCGAATTCTTTAAGTCTTCTCATCTCCTCTCCTCTCTGACAATCGTGGAGAACGTGGCAGACGGTGTCTGCTTCCCCGCAGTCGGGGCAATTTGATGACACGTTCGCTTCAATGCGTGCTAGAGTGGCGTTGCAGAGGGAGGAGTGGCCCGTTCTGATCTGGTTTGTCGTCACTCGTTCTCTTTGGTTGCTGACGTAGGTGGTTGGGGTCACTTTGTTGGTCTTCTTGTTGTCGCCTTAGATTTAGTTCTCCATCGCTCTCTTCTACCTTCTGATTGCTGCCTTGGCGGTGTCCACGCTGACAGGTCTATTTGTCTGAGGTATTGTCGCTGCGTCATTGGCCGCCTGGTCTGCTCTCTCGTTCCCAGCTATGCTGCAGTGCGAGGGGACCCAAATGAAAGTTGTTTTCTCGATCTTGTTGAGGTTCTTCCTGATTGACATTCCAGTTGTATTGTTCGTCTGGACCGGTGACTAGTTTCTCCATAGAAGATTTAGAATCCGCGAGGATTTTTCCAATGGTCTCATTGGCTGCGTCGAGGCTGGTCACATACTCTAGTGATAGAAGGATGGCTGCCATTTCCGCTTGGTAGGATGAACAGAGCTTCCCAGTGGCGGTCTTGAGGACGGTATTCCAAAGCAGGCTGGTCACGACGGCTGCATCTCCACCGGCGGTGGTATTTTGTTTGTTGCCTCGTCTTTCTGCTTGTCTTGGAATTTTTCGGTTATGCCTCTTCTCTCTTCTTGGGTCTTTGTTTCGATTCTGTATTCTGTGAGGTCGAGTCTGAAGGAGATATTGTAGTTGGAAGCAGTACTAACACTGTGCAGGTCGCACTGCAGGAGGTAGAGTTCCTTGACAGCCTCCAGTTCCTGGACCAGACGTCTCCAAGATCCGCGGCGTTGGCGGTGTAAGTCTGAGCTCTCGTCTTGGCCCCGGCGCCAGGCTTCGTGGGCTCTGCTCTTCAGACAGGGTCTGGTCTCGTTGTGTGCAGTATGCCAGGTTGGAGTTCCATGGGGTAGCCATAGCATCCTCTCCCTAGAACATGCTGCTGTTTCCTGGCTGTCGTTACTCATCGTAGACAGGTCAGAACAGGCGAGTAGGGCTGGCATTCTGGTGACTCCGAGACAGCCTGTAATGACTCTGGCGCATTTGTTCTGTTGCGCTTCGACGGCGTCGCTAAGAGAGGGCTGGGCTTCACTGAGCCAGACACCACAGGCCTAGTCAGCTACGGCCCTGGTGAGGACAACGGGGCGTTAGTTTTCTGACAAGTCGGCCGGTTTGCCTTTCCCTTTGTGGATCGGTATGATGGTCGCTGTGCGCCAAGCAAAAGGCGTGTGCCCCTCGTGCCAGGACCAGGACAAGAGCGAGTAGCATCTGCATGGCCGTGAGGGGGAGTAGCTTCAGCATCTCGTTGCTCACTCCGTCGTGCCTCGGGCTTTTGCCCTTTTTCTATTTCTTGATGGCGGACCTGAGTTGTCGACGTATGAAGTCGCTACAAGCTTTCGTCTTGTTCCAGTAACATTGACTCTTGAGTTTTTCTGTGCTTCTCTGTTGACAGTTTTATCTTCTTTCCTTCTGTCAACTCTATAGATTCCAGCTTATAGTAAGCAACACAGGTCGGCTTTCTTCTTGTCGGACACTGTGTCCTTTAACCGGTTCCCGGTCTCGTCTATACGATTGAGAGCTGCGGGCTTTCGGTCCCTCTCCTCTGAAGCATTTGAGGGCGTTGAAGAGGTCAGTGTTGACAGTCATCCTATGGCTTTTATCGTTCCATATTTTTTCTCTCTGTCGATGATCTTCCTCTTGTTGGTCTTTGAGTTTTCCACGTGTTCTCCATTACCTGTACTGTCCACTTTTTTCCTGGCCTTGTTATATCTCTTCTTGGCTTCTTCAAATTCCTTTGAACAGAACAACTTTCTCGGTTTATTCGCCGTCCCTCTGGGATGTGCTTCTTGGCAGCGGATGAAAAGCTCTCTCTCTTTCCCTCTCTCTCTTTCTTTTTTATATCTTTCTTTATTTATTTTCTCTCTATTTGTTTCTGCCTCTCTCGCACTTTCTTTCTTCTTTAAGCAAGTAAGTTTTAGTTGCCCCCCTTGCTGCTAATTTTGGTTTGAAAACTTTCTGTTAAAAACTGCAGGGTTTTTTGAGGCTTTCGATTTTTAAAAATTGAATTTTTCATTTTAAATTGTTGATATTCAAGTGTCTTTTTCCAGAGTTTTAGTCATAACAATTACTCTTAGAATTTTAAAATGTTTATTTCTGTAGCATGCACTCTTTGAAAAGTTATCTCCTTAAAGAATTGGTCTCCTTTTGCATCTTTTTGTTCCGACTTTCGATACGAAAGTAACGGAATATTTGTGCTCGGGGTGGGTTTTTTTTTCTTCAGACAAATTTCGACTTTTTAATTAGCCATTTTTTCCGGAATTTTTTTTATATCATTCGAAAGGTATTGTTGTCATGAGCTCAAATTTGAAAAGATATTTCACCTGTGATCCTTTTGCGTAAAGTTATGGGGGTTTAAAGATTGCCATTTTGGCCAATTTGGGACAATTAACGCGCGATATATTTCGCGCTATTAACGCGTAAGCGGAGAGTTAATCCGTTTTAGAAATCGTTCCAAATTGGTTGAAAGAAGCTTATTTGCCATAATTGATTTGTTACAAGGAGCGAAATCTATATTTTTGTACTTTATATGGCGTGTGGGGGGATGATTTTCATAAAAAATTTCAAATTTTAGAAAAAAAAATTATTTCATTTTGTTTTATTACATTTATTTTTTTTGATGTTATTACTGCTCCATAAACCTTTTAAGGCAGTCGGAACATTCAGGGCTTCGACCTTATACGAGCAGTCTTGTTTTACTTTGAAAGAAGATAAATGGCAAAATAAAGGGGTTAGAGTCTGTTTTTGTTTCAATACCTCAATGTTTCCTCGTGGGATACCTTTTTTGTATCAGAAAACAAATGGTTTTCGTCAGTTCAATTCAGAATAATTTTTCAGCACTTCAACTCCAATCTTGGTGTTATTCATTGCGTTTTAGCCGTTGAAGCAAATTAGTTGGAGATCAAATGTCTATAGAGTTTACAGTTCTTCAGTAGATTCCGCCGCTTTCGTCTTCAAGTTTGTTGTTTTTTCTATGAATTCCTACTATTTTTGCTAAATTCTTCCTTTTACCCGAGGTTTCAATTTGTCTCTGTATCATGCGTTTTTTAACATTAACAACTTCAATCACAGAATTCACTGACAGTTTTGCAGCAGAATTCACTGACGAATTGTGGAATCCAGCAAAACTTGTTGCAATCCATTTCAGCGACCAAAAAGCATTTGTTGGAGGAATCCAAAACAAGCATGGCTAAAAATTTGTCGCAAAATCCACAAGGTCTGGGGATTCCCGAAAAAAAATCCAATCTTAAGTCAATTTCAAGTCAAGATCTTATTAATCATATGTTTTTCATTTCTATCATTCTCTCTATTTCAATGAATTTCAAATTTCTGTAGAGTTTTGAGAAAAATATTTTGGTTCTAGGGTTAGGCGTTTGGATAGTATTCCAATTTCAGTTCCAATTTCAAAAAAAAAATCCAATTTGAAATTGGTTAAACTTGTGATTTATTTTTGCAAACGCAAAATAGTTTTAGTTCTCAAACAGATAATATTGAAAAAAAAAACCGTTTCACATGATAGGCTTGAGCTGGAAAAACTAATCATGAGCTCTTAAAATTCCATTTTTCATGTAAAAATGGAATAGTATTGATTTTGACTGTACGCTCAAAATATTTTGGTAAGTTATTCTTCCAAAAAAATTTTGTCGATTAAATAAGATCAAAAATTATCAACATACTATAAGTTGTATCTGTGTGTGTGTGTGTGTTTCTCGGTTGTGGGGTGGATTGAAGCGGCGGCTGAGGTTGTTGGGGAGGTTGTACATTTGTGGTGCACTTAGCACATAGAAGTCGTTGTTCCAGTCTTTAGACTTCTTCAACCTACTACACTTCATATGGGTCCAACTACAACCCTATGTGTGGCACCATACGAGTTGCAAGCGCCTATACGGTTTAGCGCCTGTACCACATTTTGGCCCTGGATTGGGCTCAATGCCAGCCATGATCAGCACAAGTTGACGGGACAGAGGTGCCGGCTTGGAGTTCTTTTGTTACCTTCCCAAAAAACCCGGGTGGCTTTTTTAGACTGTTGTGTTTTCAGTTTGCTTTTGCTTACCTTTTAACGGAACTTTTTTTGGCCAAAACTATACGCTAGGGTTGTTTGTTGGCAAAGACTGCAAACAGAAAAGCAAATTGACAAACATTTGAGAGATGTAATTTTTTTGTGATGCTTGAAAGTTAAAAAATAAATAGTTTTTTTCCAGGAGGTACTTAGGAATAAATCAACGAAGTTGTATATCCTTTTTTTAAAGTACTGAGAGGGTTTTTCAATAAATTTTTGAAGTCGTTGCAGTAAAGTCTTCTTGAAACTATGTTTGAATATGTTGAAAAGTTTCTCTTTTCACCTCTCCATATTCATAATCTCTCTCTCCATATTTCAGTGTTGACTCGTTTCAGCGTATTGTGGTTAAAATCAATGTTTATGTTGTGAGGAAGCGTTAAAAGTGACAATTGGCTTTTAAAAATATCTTCGTAGATGCTTCTGTTTTGATAGCATTGAAGTTTTGTTGGTTGAAATCTTCTCAGTTTTTCTTCTCTTGTTTTCCTAATTCAAAGCGGGAAAAATCTGCTTCGAATGTCTTCGGTGGGTTTTTAAACTTGCAATGATATAAAGGTCGGTTACATAGAAAACGGGTGTTTAGCTACAACATTTTTGTGACCACACTTAGCTTAATTTTTTTCTACTCAAAAGCTGCAAAAAGTACAAATCTAAATCAAATCTTCAATTAGGTGGACTCTCTGAATCTGAGAATGGATCTAGAAGAGGAGGACGACGATGAGGGCATGAAACAGAAGGGAATGTCAGCAGCAGCAGCAGCAGCTGACAACCAGTTTCAGTTGCAGGAAGATGGAGGGGACAGCCCCAGAGCGCCCATATTCGTAGCAGGTAATTTCTTTTTTTTTTCTTTAAGCTTACTTCAAAATTCTAGCTTCGGATGAACATGGTTTTTTTTCATGTCTTTCTTGACGAAGTTAACATAAATGAGTGTGGGAAATGGTTATGTGATAAATACTGGCGTTAAACTTCGGAATTTTTTTTGCCAAGATAAATGTAGCCTGTTTTTGTGTAATTTGTGGATTTGCCTTTTGTTATTTGTCATAAGTAATGCCCTGCAATGTTGTTGGTGCAATTGCTTTTTTTCTATTGATAGGTCGATCCCCGCGGTACGTCAAGCAGTCACCGCGCAAAGGAGACCCGGGAACCCTTGTCTACGAGGCGCAAGCTTCCCACCCCACTCAGCACAGCTCGGCCTCTCCCCTCAAAATGTCACCCAGGGTACAGCTATTAGCCAATGACTCCACTGTATCTGCTCCACACAATCTCAATCAGCCTACACCTGTGGTAATGGCAGCAGGCTCACCTGGTGAGTAAAAATTAAGGCATGGCTAGTGTATGAATACTTAGTGAACAATTTAAAAGAGCAAGTAAAAATGGTTATCAAATATGACTTTCAAGTTTTTTTTTGATCGACAAAATTGACAAAGAACCTCTGTGTTTCTGTAATTTTTTTAAACTTTAGGTTGAACTTTATAAGAGTCATCTGTATGTGCAGTTGTTTTAAAATTTGAATTAAATTTTAAAAATTACGTACCCTTGAATCATGGATGTGTTAAGGTGGTGCTGTGAATCCTATGTTGATGTCTCCGCTTCGCTTTGGCCAGTCTCCCCTCAGTACCTCCCCCTCTGGAGGCACAGGAGGGGGCATGAGTCTGGAAGAACTGATGAAGAGTGCGGAAACTGCAGCTAATTATAAGCTGATGCATGATATTGCTACAGACAACACATTCAAACTATCTCCCAGGCAGCCACTCCCAGACAGGTCTGAGAAGTTTTCCTCGGCACCTATTTTTCATCATATGATTACGAGTGATATCTCCTAAAAGAATGTCAGGGAATGTTCAATATGCCAGTGAAGTTTCCGAGTTTGGACAATCAAACCTTTTAATTGATCGGACCTGTCTCGAAAACTAACCAGTTAACTCGTGTAATTGTTTTTATTTGACAATTCATAGAGACTATCTTTTAATATTTTATATGCTCCAGATTCTTAATATTTTAGCCTATAAATCTTTTGAAAATTTTGTCGAAAGAATTCATTCTATCAAAACATGGTGAGAATTTCAAGAATTAAATGAAAAATGTCAAATGTTGTTTCATATAGTATGGTCAAAGTTTCTGAGAAAAAATTTCGCCAAATCAAAGATTTTTATTCTTGAAAGTTTATTAAAATCGGGATACTATACTTTTTCCAACCAAAGCTGCATTCATTGCGGACTGGTTTTTAAAGCATGTGTGAAAATAGAAATATATTTGAATGTATTAGGTTGCGAAGCGGAAGATTTTGAGCTCGATCCCATTGATCGTCTTTTCAGTTCTATATATTTTCCCCGGCTTTTGGCTTTTTGAACTTAGATAGCTTTTTGGCCGTGTGTTTAAGTATTCAGCTCTCTAGAGAATAACTTTACATGCTAAACTTATTGAAAACCCGTGCAAGACTCTTCATGACTTTGACATTTTGAATAATCGTTCTATATATAGAAAACCGACTTTTTTTTGAAAAAGTAAAGCAACATACTATTTCAACTGTTTTTCAGAAATGTTAAAATTGTTATGTCTGTAAAGAACTAGGTTCAAAAGAAGTTTTCATATTTTTGTTAATTACTCAGGTGTTTTAATTTTCCATAGAAGTCATTGAGGTTTTTTCAATGCTTTTTTCTTTTAAGGCTCACTTTTGATTAAGAGTAATGAATGTAGTGAGTACTCTTATATAGGTCTTGCCGATTTTTTTTGCAGGAAAAAGTCTTCAAATTTTGTCATGCTCAATTTTGGTTTTTCGCGGTTTGACTTGTGATTTCTTTTTAACTTCAGTGCATTTATATTGTTAAAAGGAAGGCAAACTCCACTATCGAACAGCAAAAATGTAAAGGCCACGAAAAACGTAACCGACTTCTAATTTAGAAAATGGAAATAAATTATCAGATTTCCCAGCAAATTAAAAGTTTTACCTATTGATCCAGTTTTCTCAAATTGGGTTAATTTTAAGAAAAAGTGTCCATGATAAATAATTCTTCAAATTCAAAGAGCTTTAAGGCCATCTATTTTTTTTTCGATTTTCAAAAATTGAAGGTTCTTGAAAAAAAACCAGGACATGCATTCATAACTATTTTCCAACAGTCAGTTGTCTCTGTTTTTTAGGAAACTTATCCTTGATTTAAAAATATTGCTTCCGACTTCCTTTTATCTTTGAATTCAGTTCATTTGGATTTGTCGATTTGAGGGCAAAAAACGGTCTTCGAAGAAGTGCAAATTGTGCTACAAAATCTAATTCGTATTTTAAAAAAGATTTAAATTGTTTGGATCATTAGGTAATGTTTTTGTTCAGCTGAGAGCTCTAAGAATTAAAAAAAAAAATCTTAACTTATTATTAAATTACATTTTTTCGCGCATTTGAACTTTGTTTGGCGAGCATTTTTTATTTCCATTTGACTCATGCAATTGAATTGAGTATGAAACGAAATCAGTCAATCAGCAAAAATTTTCTCAAGATGAGTTAGCTTTATCGAAAAAGTGTTAATGCTAATGATTATTGGAAATCAGACGGACTTTGAGAGACTATCTTTTTTTTCGAGAATGTTTCAAATAGTGTCGTCTTTTTTCGGTTTCCTTAAGCTCGTAAACACGCTTTCAACAGTTTGTTGGCTTTGTTTTGACTTAAGCAGTTGACTTTAAATCTCCTTTTTACTGCTTGTGTTTGCAAAATCAACTTCGCCCATGTATTTACAAATCCTTTCTAGCGTAATTATTTTTACACGCATTTTGTTTTGTCAACCAAGCCACGAGAGAATTTATGAATTTATTTTTGTTAACTGTTTATGAAAAGTGTTTCGTAAACACGATTTCAACTGTTTGTTGGCTATGTTTTGTGTTTTTAAAGCTCCTTTTTCCTTGTGTTTTTGATTTTTGATTGCAGCTTCACCTTTGCGTTGGCCATGTTTTGTAAGTGATAATGTTCCACGCATTTTTGTCTTGGTTCCGGATAGATACAAAGCACTACGAAAAGAACTCTTTGTTCTGTTTGCGGATACTACATTTTTTCTTTTCCAGATTGAACGTTGAAATATGTCAAGCGTCAGTTCAAATAATATTCAGTAGGGGACATTTTTATTTGCTTAGGCAACATTAATTACGCAAGCGAGTTAATGAGCATAGTGTTATTTGAGAATATGTTTTTGTTTTGAAAATTTACTAATTTGGTTACACTTATGGTTCGAAGCATTGGCAATTAAGTAGCATCTATAGCAATTTTAGCGGCGCAAAAACGAGGACGTGAGACTCCTATTATTTAGATCGGAGGTTCGGTTCCAGTTGATAGCATAAGTTTTGTTTCTTAATTCTTACTCTTTTTTCGTTCTTTTTTTCATTTTTTTTTTGCCTTTTTAGAGCTACTTTTTGCTGTTTTTTTTTAGTGTTTGTTAATTGCATCTTTGCCCCTGTTTACAGTTACGATTAGCAAGTGTTGATCAAATCACAAACTCGATTTCTTTTAAGTAACAAGGTTGGCACGCAACGAAGTGAATCTAACCAAGTCGTAAAGACAGTTAAAGTGGATTTTTGCATGTATCGGCGTACGAGATGTAAAAAATCTTTCTAAAATATTTTTTCGCTCAAAATTTTTGCTGGAATGAAAATTCTAGGCTTAGCAGACACCTATTCAAATTTCGCTTGTTCATCGCTCCGTCATTTTTGTCTCTAAATATAACTATACCTATTGTCTTTCTTCTACTGTTTTTTTTTCAAGCAATTTTTAATTTTTTCCAGAATTTCCAGAAACAATTTTCAAGATTCGGGGCTTTGTTGATGCTTTCTTCTGGGCATTTTATGTTGAAGTTTTTAGCTGAAATTTTAGTTCCCGTCGCCATTTTGGTTAATTTTTCCTTCTGTAATGGAATTTGTTTAATTCCTTTTTGCCTTTGTATACAAAGTATCCTGGTTCAAAGATATCAATTATTTAGATTACGGCAAGTTACATCTCTATTGAATTGCAATGCATGGCCAGGCCACTCTATCTCTAATCTGGATACTTTTCATGAACTCCAATCCCCCAGTTAAGACCTCAGTCACTTTGCATACAATGCAATGAGATCTCAATAAATATTTAGTAGGTCAAAAGGAAAAAGTTAAAAAACAGGATAGCCGGTTGTTGTGTAAATAAATAGCACAGAATTTTCCGACCAATAACCTAAAAATAATACAGAAAAAGTTTTTTTTTAATAAATGTCGTTTTTAGTGCGTGCTGTGATTAGAGAACTATAAAAATGCGTAGAAATTAGGTATTTTAGGCATAATCGACAACATTTGTCTTCAAAAAAACTGATGGCAGACAAAAAATGAGTAAATTAACAAAAAAAAAATGTGAGATAGTTGCTTTTTTGCACTGTTAGTTGGCCGAAGTCTAGAAAATCGGGACCCACAAATTTAAGATAGATTTTAAATCTCAGCGTTGCATATAATAAAAAGTATAAAGCGTTGCTTATAAAGTATGTTGAAGGTTTGATTTAGTCTGGAGGGTAGGATCAAGGCCATGATGGAGAAGGCATTCTGGGATCTATTGAAGGAGGACCTGGAATCAGAGGAGCCCGTTTACGAACAGGTGCTGTCTCTACTACAAGATATCAAAGAGGTAAGCGATCTTACAATACTAACAGTCAAACAAAAGTGTAGTAAAAAAGTATTTAAATTAGTCAAGTTAATATAAAACAGCTAGTATAGTCAAAGTATGGACTCTAAAATTAAGCAACAGCAATTACAACTAGAGTAACCGGTAGCTATGCAAAGGTAAAACGTAAATGTTTTTCAAATTCCGAACTTTTTTGTGGAGTACATTTTCGTTCTTTTTCTCGAGTAGTGAGAGAGATTTGTTTTCAGTTACTCAGTTTCAAAAATAACTCAAAATGGCTTAACCAAAGTAAATAATACTTAAATAGACGCCCGCACCCTTCTCTAATCAGCCTAGCGCTAAGTTAGCTTGAATAGTAATTTTTTTTCTTGGAATGCGAATCACGACTAAAAGGGCTTTTAATGATACTACATTCGGTACCTGCGATCGCTCTATGAAATCGCTTGGAAAACCCAAAGTATGACGTATTTTTTCCCACACCGCGAACTGGTCGGAACATCAATAAGCCAAAAAAGCAATATGTAAAAGGAATGTCAAATAAGGCTGGTGTGTGAAATTTGTTTCTCCGAGATAATTCCAAAAACTGCCATCAATTCAATCTTCGCTGAAGTCTTCAGATTGGGAAAACTATTTTCTGTACGGTAGTCCACGAAGTTTTTAAGTTCAGATTTTACTATAAATAGCGTTTTGCAATGTGATGTTTTGTATTCATAGACGGTATTAGACAGTCTTCTACAAACTGACAACTGTGCTTCAATCGCGGCTGAGTTCAGAGAGAGACTGGACTTGGATCTAATCAGACAGCAGCTGCAATCTGACCCCGCCTCCTTCCAACTCACTCACTACTCCACCCTCATTCTGGACACTCTGGCTAGAGTGTGTGCCCCCTGTAGAGATGCGAGGATAGCTCAATTGAGAAACACCACGGACACTGTTGTCATGCTGAGGTTGCCTTTTTGTCCAAATTATTCGATAATGTCTTTACTATTGTTTGTAACTGAAGTTTCAAATTGCAATCACATTTACTCACTGTTCAAGATCGATTTGAATCAGGGCCATCTAAATTATGAGGTCGGCGGTGGTTCGAGATTGACTATATTTTATTCTAGTTGCGTAAACATGTGACTCGCTCTGGCAGTCCAAAATAATGAGTGAAATAAATGAAAAGGCACGTAGGATTCATTGTGTAGGATTCATAGTGAGTATTGTATTTTGTTGATAGGGAATTGATGAAGACGCTGGATCTGATGAAGTTAGACATGGCCAACTACTTGATAGAGCAGAGCAGACCCCTCCTGCAGATGCACTCGGTGGAGACGGAGAGGAGACACTTTGACGCTCTACTGCAGGCTCACAAGAGTTAGTTAGGAAAAACTTCTCACGCTACTTAATCTCCATCAATTTTCTTTTCCATCAATTGATTACCACAACTTTCTTTGCCCATCAATTCGATTCTCCGTTTCTTTTAACAATTGTTTTAACGGGCCTTTCTCAGAAAATGGTCATTTTTAGAATGTTTGAAAGGCTTTGCAATGTAGTTAAACTAAAGCATCCATCTTTATAGAAAATCCCCCATCCCTCGGGATGCCACAATTTACTATCGAGTTTGTATTAGAGCTTGCTTTTGTTCAGCAGAAGACAAGGTTGATGCTCTACATCGCACGAAAGAGTGGCTGTGCCGTGCCAGACAAAGACTCATAGAGGACCCCTCTCTGTCTGACAAACCTCAGTCTGCAGTAACATCTAGCAGCGGGAGTGGGGGACCAACTGGGAGGGAGATTTTACATGAGGCCTTCATGGAACTGCTGGACTGGAGGCATCCGATCGAGAACATTCCAGAGGTACTACTAGATTGTTCCTATATTACATGCATGCTGATCAAAGTAAAGTGTACATGAGTTTTTTGTCTGTCAGTTGTCTGCTGCAATAAAACTCACTGGCGAGACAAAGGTCAAATTTTCTGGTCACACCATTATCAGCAGTCGTTGCTTGAGAGTGAGGGAACATTTGTCATGTATCAGGAAGTGCTATGAAGTCTCCGGGTTTTTGGCTCGCCAACCTCGATACTGTTCTTTTAAAAGACTGGGTTAACAAAAAAGACAAGGAACATTTGCCAGCCCAGAATAATATTGCATGGACACATTTTAATCAGTAGCGCAACAGTTTCTGCGCAAATAGCGTGATATATCTGTATAATTAGGGAGATGGGTGCCTGACGGGAGAAGGACCGAAACCGAATGCCCGGAAATAATGTTAACCAATCATAGCTCATTATTTGAAAGATCGGAGGAAAACAGCGTGAAATTTATTAAGCTTAAAGGACGTTAATGCATTCAATTATTATCATCACGTTTATCATCATGTTTGTGCTAATGTGTTTGTTTGTATATAGACGTGTGTTGTGGACGTTGTTCGTGTGAAGGAGTTAGCTTGGGAGTACAAGACAGTGGTGCTGAGTGGATGTGTACTGCTCATTACCCTCAACACAGTGGGGCTGGGGACAGTAGTGTCTCCCCCGACTCCTTCAGATAGCCCCGACTCCTCCTCTTTATCAACTTCATCCTCCTCACTTCAGGCTCAATCTCTCGTGGATAGAATCAAGAGTAAAATCAAGGACATCCTGTCCCAGTCGCCGTGGTAACTATGAGTTTGGTGTCGTAGATAATACTGCAAGTCATTTGCGTTAAATTGTCGTCATCTGGTATTCAAAAATTACTGAACATGTAATTTTGGGTTCATGAAGTCTCTGAAAACCACACAAAAACTTTCCTACCAAGGTATTCTGCGGTAGCAATGAGTGTGGCCGTCAATATTTCTGAACAATAGTTTCGAAAAGCGATACAGAGTGTACAGACTTTTCCGTTGAGCCCGCTGGTTTCGTTATTGCTCGTATTTTAGATGCCCTTCTAAGAAATGCATCTCATTTATTTTACATTGCCTGCATGAAATTCGATTAACTTGATTAAACTCGTCTAAAACATAAGCGATATGAAATGGGAGCTATAACGGATAATTCCCCAGTTCAGTCTTCAAGTTAGTGTCCAAGACGTGTGCTTGTGTTTTAGTGTTTCCAGTCCAGAGGAAGAGGCGCTGGACGGCATAGTAGACCAGACTGTGAAGTGTGCATACCCTTCTGCTTCATCTGCTAGCACAGCAACAGTATCAAGTGGATCATCAGCAGCAGCAGAGAAAGAGGAGAAGCTGAGGAGTCAACTGATGCAATTGACGGATAGCAACCACCCAGTCAAGAAACTTCTCCGTAAGTGGATACTGCGAAAGGAGCATCAACGTTATTTTTTAACCAAATTTGGCCCAAAGTTGCCTGCATACTCATGAAAGATGAATGATTAGCTTAACAGCAAAACTTGAATTTTTAACTGATGGAGATGTGTTAAATGGTGATAGCTGAATTTACCTTCCATCCTCCTCTTACGATACCATGATAACGGGTAGATATATAGGTTGAAGTAAAGCGTATCTGTCTATATATTAATCGAACGGCATGTTTTTCGTAGTGTTAAGAAGCAATCGTTAAGAAATACCACCGAGCACAATATTTGAGAAGAGTTGAATCAGAGGGTCTAATACTATTTAAGTGCAACCATCGAATATTCTAAAATCCAGGAATATTCTAGAACAATTTTCAAAAAATTCCAGAAAATTTTGCGTTTACGATAATGTTTCAGTCTGAAACGAATCAACTAAAAACAAACATGCTTAGAAAAACTAACTTTTACCAAAACGATTCGCGGTCCATGCAATAATTTGCAATAATTCAAAGTTTCAGAGCTGAATACCTTGTTTAGAAAAAACTTATTGCGAACCGATGCACATTTTATGAAATAACTTGAAATATTTCAGAGCTGAAATACCTTGCTTAAAAGCCTTGAACTTTTCGCGAACCGATTCAGTAAGAATTAACTTGAAATAATTCAAAGATTCATTGCTTGCAAACCGATTTGATCTATGAAATAACCTAGAAGCTTTCATAGATTGAATAGCTTGCTGATGAAGAAACATGAAGTTTTGCTTCATGAAGATTTGCTTCATGAACTAACGTGAAAAGCTGTAGTAGCTTTCTGAGAAAAACGTAAGCTTTTCCGGCTCAGTTCATGAATTAATTTGAAACATTTCAAAACCTTATAGCTTGAAAAGCTTGCTTAGAAAATCCTAAAAGTTTTGCAACATGATATGTTCTATGAAAATTTGTTACATTTCAAAGTTCCATTGCTTGAATAGCTTGCTTGGAAAAACTTTTACGCGAACTATATTATTTCAAAGTTTCATCGTTTAAGTAGCTAACTAAGAAAAACTGTAACTTTTCCCCCATTGATTTGTTCTATGCAACGACCTGAAGTTCTTCAAAGCTCCCTTCCTTAGTTAACTTGTATAGGAAAATTGTATCTTTTCGCGAAACTATTTGGTCTAAGAAGCTTCTTAGGTTATATCAAAGTTCATCGCTCGATTAGCTCGCTTAGAATAAATAACCTTTCCAAAACGTTTCAGTCTAAGAAAGCACTTGAATTATTTTGATCTTTCAGAGCTTCAATAGCTAACTCGGAAAAACTTTAATTTTTTTCCCACGGATTCGCTCCATGAAAAATTTTGAAATTTTTCTGAGTTTAATTGCTTGAATAGCTTGCATACGAAAATTGATTCGCTCTATGATGGGTTTTTGTCTTCTGTTTCTGAACTCAGTTCTTTTTCTGACTGCTGAAATAGAAAATTTTAGGTGCTCGTGAACAAAGAGACGAAAAGAGTTTTTGAACCTATCCGGCTCGAAAACAATTTTTCTAGTGTCTTCAGACTGGCTGAAGTTATAATAATCTTCAATATCAAACGAATGAAAAGTCAATGTCATGTTTTAGCTGCTCTAGTGCGCAAGGGTTGAAAGCCATCGTTGAGCTCAACAATTAAAAAAATCTTCTGAATCTAGAATAATTTGGAATTTGTCAGTCAAAATCAAATTCACGCGTCAGATTATTTTAAGATCAGCTGGAATATTTAAAGATTTTTTTTTTTGAAAAATTTTGAAATTTTAAACGAGGTGAACTCGATCCAATTTCAAGGCTAGACAGTACCTGCCAATTTTTCTCTAAAACTTTGCGTTTCATAATTATTTTTTGTTTAAAAAGAATCAGCAACAACCATGCTTAGGAAAACTTTTTTTTTGCAATAAAATAACTTGCAATCTATTATTTTTCTTGCTCAAACACCTTGCTTAGAAAAATTCATATTTTTGCCAATCGATTTTCTATATGAAAGAGCTTTCGTATGAAAGAGCTTTCGAAAAAGTTTTTTCGCATGAATACCTTGTTTAGAAAAACTTATTGCGAACCGATGCACATTTTATGAAATAACTTGAAATATTTCAGAGCTGAAATACCTTGCTTAAAAGCCTTGAACTTTTCGCGAACCGATTCAGTAAGAATTAACTTGAAATAATTCAAAGGTTCATTGCTTGCATAGATTGAATAGCTTGCTGATGAAGAAACATGAAGTTTTGCTTCATGAAGATTTGCTTCATGAACTAACGTGAAAAGCTGTAGTAGCTTTCTGAGAAAAACGTAAGCTTTTCCGGCTCAGTTCATGAATTAATCTGAAACATTTCAAAACTTTATAGCTTGAATAGCTTGCTTAGAAAATCCTAAAAGTTTTGCAACATGATATGTTCTATGAAAATTTGTTACATTTCAAAGTTTCATTGCTTGAATAGCTTGCTTGGAAAAACTTTTACGCGAACTATATTATTTCAAAGTTTCATCGTTTAAGTAGCTAACTAAGAAAAACTGTAACTTTTCCCCCATTGACTCGTTCTATGCAACGACCTGAAGTTCTTCAAAGTTCCCTTCCTTAGTTAACTTGTATAGGAAAATTGTATCTTTTCGCGAAACTATTTGGTCTAAGAAGCTTCTTAGGTTATATCAAAGTTCCTCGCTCGATTAGCTCGCTTAGAATAAATAACCTTTCCAAAACATTTCACTCTAAGAAAGCACTTGAATTATTTTGATCTTTCAGAGCTTCAATAGCTAACTCGGAAAAACTTTAATTTTTTTCCCACTGATTCGCTCCATGAAAAATTTTGAAATTTTTCTGAGTTTAATTGCTCGAATAGCTTGCATACGAAAATTGATTCGCTCTATGATGGGTTTTTGTCTTCTGTTTCTGAACTCGGTTCTTTTTCTGACTGCTGAAATAGAAAATTTTAGGTGCTCGTGAACAAAGAGACGAAAAGAATTTTTGAACCTATCCGGCTCGAAAACAATTTTTCTAGTGTCTTCAGACTGGCTGAAGTTATAATAATCTTCAATATCAAACGAATGAAAAGCCAATGCCATGTTTTAGCTGCTCTAGTGCGCACGGGTTGAAAGCCATCGTTGAGCTCAACATTTAAGAAAATCTTCTGAATCTAGAATAATTTGGAATTTGTCAGTCAAAATCAAATTCACGCGTCAGATTATTTTAAGATCAGCTGGAATATTTAAAGATTTTTTTTTTTGAAAAATTTTGAAACTTTAAACGAGTTGAACTCGATCCAATTTCAAGGCTAGACAGTACCTGCCAATTTTTCTCTAAAACTTTGCGTTTCATAATTATTTTTAGTTTAAAAAGAATCAGCAACAACCATGCTTAGGAAAACTTTTTTTTGCAATAAATTAACTTGCAATCTATTATTTTTCTTGCTCAAACACCTTGCTTAGAAAAATTCATATTTTTGCCAGTCGATTTTATATATGAAAGAGCTTTCGTATGAAAGAGCTTTCGAAAAAGTTTTTTCGCATGAATACCTTGTTTAGAAAAAACTTATTGCGAACCGATGCACATTTTATGAAATAACTTGAAATATTTCAGAGCTGAAATACCTTGCTTGAAAGCCTTGAACTTTTCGCGAACCGATTCAGTAAGAATTAACTTGAAATAATTCAAAGATTCATTGCTTGCAAACCGATTTGATCTATGAAATAACTTAGAAGCTTTCATAGATTGAATAGCTTGCTGATGAAGAAACATGAAGTTTTGCTTCATGAAGATTTGCTTCATGAACTAACGTGAAAAGCTGTAGTAGCTTTCTGAGAAAAACGTAAGCTTTTCCAGCTCAGTTCATGAATTAATTTGAAACATTTCAAAACCTTATAGCTTGAATAGCTTGCTTAGAAAATCCTAAAAGTTTTCCAACATGATATGTTCTATGAAAATTTGTTACATTTCAAAGTTCCATTGCTTGAATAGCTTGCTTGGAAAAACTTTTATGCGAACTATATTATTTCAAAGTTTCATCGTTTAAGTAGCTAACTAAGAAAAACTGTAACTTTTCCCCCATTGATTCGTTCTATGCAACGACCTGAAGTTCTTCAAAGCTCCCTTCCTTAGTTAACTTGTATAGGAAAATTGAATCTTTTCGCGAAACTATTTGGTCTAAGAAGCTTCTTAGGTTATATCAAAGTTCATCGCTCGATTAGCTCGCTTAGAATAAATAACCTTTCCAAAACGTTTCAGTCTAAGAAAGCACTTGAATTATTTGATCTTTCAGAGCTTCAATAGCTAACTCGGAAAAACTTTAATTTTTTTCCCACGGATTCGCTCCATGAAAAATTTTGAAATTTTTCTGAGTTTAATTGCTTGAATAGCTTGCATACGAAAATTGATTCGCTCTATGATGGGTTTTTGTCTTCTGTTTCTGAACTCAGTTCTTTTTCTGACTGCTGAAATAGAAAATTTTAGGTGCTCGTGAACAAAGAGACGAAAAGAGTTTTTGAACCTATCCGGCTCGAAAACAATTTTTCTAGTTTCTTCAGACTGGCTGAAGTTATAATAATCTTCAATATCAAACGAATGAAAAGTCAATGCCATGTTTTAGCTGCTCTAGTGCGCAAGGTTTGAAAGCCATCGTTGAGCTCAACATTTAAGAAAATCTTCTGAATCTAGAATAATTTGGAATTTGTCAGTCAAAATCAAATTCACGCGTCAAATTATTTTAAGATCAGCTGGAATATTTAAAGATTTTTTTTGAAAAATTTTGAAACTTTAAACGAGGTGAACTCGATCCAATTTCAAGGCTAGACAGTACCTGCCAATTTTTCTCTAAAACTTTGCGTTTCATAATTATTTTTAGTTTAAAAAGAATCAGCAACAACCATGCTTAGGAAAACTTTTTTTTTGCAATAAAATAATTTGCAATCTATTATTTTTCTTGCTCAATCACCTTGCTTAGAAGAATTCATATTTTTGCCAATCGATTTTCTATATGAAAGAGCTTTCGTATGAAAGAGCTTTCGAAAAAGTTTTTTCGCATGAATACCTTGTTTAGAAAAACTTATTGCGAACCGATGCACATTTTATGAAATAACTTGAAATATTTCAGAGCTGAAATACCTTGCTTAAAAGCCTTGAACTTTTCGCGAACCGATTCAGTAAGAATTAACTTGAAATAATTCAAAGATTCATTGCTTGCAAACCGATTTGATCTATGAAATAACTTAGAAGCTTTCATAGATTGAATAGCTTGCTGATGAAGAAACATGAAGTTTTGCTTCATGAAGATTTGCTTCATGAACTAACGTGAAAAGCTGTAGTAGCTTTCTGAGAAAAACGTAAGCTTTTCCGGCTCAGTTCATGAATTAATTTGAAACATTTCAAAACCTTATAGCTTGAATAGCTTGCTTAGAAAATCCTAAAAGTTTTGCAACATGATATGTTCTATGAAAATTTGTTACATTTCAAAGTTCCATTGCTTGAATAGCTTGCTTGGAAAAACTTTTACGCGAACTATATTATTTCAAAGTTTCATCGTTTAAGTAGCTAACTAAGAAAAACTGTAACTTTTCCCCCATTGATTCGTTCTATGCAACGACCTGAAGTTCTTCAAAGCTCCCTTCCTTAGTTAACTTGTATAGGAAAATTGTATCTTTTCGCGAAACTATTTGGTCTAAGAAGCTTCTTAGGTTATATCAAAGTTCATCGCTCGATTAGCTCGCTTAGAATAAATAACTTTTCCAAAACGTTTCAGTCTAAGAAAGCACTTGAATTATTTTGATCTTTCAGAGCTTCAATAGCTAACTCGGAAAAACTTTAATTTTTTTCCCACGGATTCGCTCCATGAAAAATTTTGAAATTTTTCTGAGTTTAATTGCTTGAATAGCTTGCATACGAAAATTGATTCGCTCTATGATGGGTTTTTGTCTTCTGTTTCTGAACTCAGTTCTTTTTCTGACTGCTGAAATAGAAAATTTTAGGTGCTCGTGAACAAAGAGACGAAAAGAGTTTTTGAACCTATCCGGCTCGAAAACAATTTTTCTAGTGTCTTCAGACTGGCTGAAGTTATAATAATCTTCAATATCAAACGAATGAAAAGTCAATGCCATGTTTTAGCTGCTCTAGTGCGCAAGGGTTGAAAGCCATCGTTGAGCTCAACATTTAAGAAAATCTTCTGAATCTAGAATAATTTGGAATTTGTCAGTCAAAATCAAATTCACGCGTCAAATTATTTTAAGATCAGCTGGAATATTTAAAGATTTTTTTTGAAAAATTTTGAAACTTTAAACGAGGTGAACTCGATCCAATTTCAAGGCTAGATAGTACCTGCCAATTTTTCTCTAAAACTTTGCGTTTCATAATTATTTTTAGTTTAAAAAGAATCAGCAACAACCATGCTTAGGAAAACTTTTTTATTGCAATAAAATAACTTGCAATCTATTATTTTTCTTGTTCAATCACCTTGCTTAGAAAAATTCATATTTTTGCCAGTCGATTTTATATATGAAAGAGCTTTCGTATGAAAGAGCTTTCGAAAAAGTTTTTTCGCATGAATAGCTTGTTTATGAAAAACTTGAGCTTTTTGCAAACCGGTTCGGTCTATTCAAAAACTTAATGAAATGTTATTAAGTTTCTTAGCTTCCGTAGCTCGATTATTTAACTTTTAATTTTTGGTGCGCCGATCCGCTTCATGAAACAACATGAATTATTTTAAAGTTCCATAGCTTGATTAGCTTGCTTACAAAAAATTCAAATTTTTGCGAACCGATTCGGTCTACGAATTAACTTGAAACATTTCATAGCTTGAATATCTCGCCTAAGAAAAACTTCATTTTTTTCGTGAACCAATTTCCAGAAGGAAGAATTTCAGTTCGACTTTGCCGGCCCTGTATTAGGCTCTGATTGGAAAGAATATTCATATTAATTGCCATGATCATCTTATTAGATATCCATCTGCTATAATCACTAAGTAGTCATGTTGCGATAAATGTTTAGATAACATTAGTCTGTATATTTTTCCAAAGATTATCAGAATTAATCAAATTCCGAGAAAAATTAATGTGAATTTTTCAGAAATTTGTTATGTGAGGAGAGTCCAACAATTAGTTTGTCGGTAGGTGACCACTGAGGCTGTGTTCTAGTTTCAACGTATTTAAGCAGGCGACCCGCACTCAAGTTTTTACCTCGACTTAAGCTGGTACCTTGTTTTGGTTGTAGAGCGAAGAGTGCAGCGATATCTGAAGACATGTCTGGACTCTGCCACCCACTCCAACCCAGCCAGTGTTCCGGCTGCCCTAGTGCCAGTGCAGAAAGAGTTGACTCTGTTCACGTCCCACTTCCTCAAAGTGACTTCATACAATAGGGAAGTGTACAGACCACACTACACGCAGATTGTAGATAATATGACCACGACACTCGACTAAACTGGTCAATCATCACAGCACATCACTGCGCGTGTTTTGTTACAATTTATGAATGGCAAAGGTAGTTTAGTTTCCCTTGGTTCGACGTCTCAAATGAACTGAGGAATGTTGCAAATACGAAACCAGAAAATGACGACAATGAAAAGTAGCTTCCCCTTTGTGATGTTTATTGATCGACAACTCTGATGTCGGTTTGATCATAAATTTAACTCTGCAATCGTTTTTTTTGCAATCCTGTTTTTTAAACAAAACGAACGCTGTTGACCAATTTCAATTTTCCAAAATTATATTTTTTTAATATTTTTTGCCCAAAAACGTTGGTAAAGTATTACAGTGTGATGATTGTTTTTGGTTTGTCTCAAAATTTTTATCTTAAACGGTATAGTTACTTTTCCAAAAAGTTATTTAGGTGCATGAACAAAAAATGATATCGAAAAATCAACAAACTATGACAACCATGACTGATATACAATTGAAGAGCTACAAAATGAATTATGGAATGACTTACTGGATAAATGATGAATATTTGTGAGTTGTAAATAAAATATATACTATATGGTTTTGTTTTTGTTTCTTTTTGTCAAATTTGTTGCGTTTAGAGTGATATAATGTGTAACGAAACTTGAATATTGTAAAATTTAACTAATAGAAAGCAGTCTTGTGTAAACTTCTAAAATAAATGTGATCTTAAGACGATTCTTTTCAGAGTCGTTCAATTTTTGAATAATTTCGAGACCGGAACTTAAAAACTTACATACTACAACGATCTACAATTCAATTTTTCAGAGCAAAAACGTAAAATGCCCATAAAAAAGAAAACGCGTGAGTTAAAAGATTTTTTCGAATATGCTTATAAGCTTGGAAGTCAGCACTGTTTCAACAATACAAAACTGTGCAATAAGTTTGTTAAAAAATATAGACTGTATGGTTTTAGTGATAGGGCCAGTCTTGAAAACGTTTTTTGTCTGGTTGGATTGACTGTTAAAATGCGCATTCGTATACACAATAGATGAATTCAGTGTGGAACTGAAATTTTGATTTTCAATATCGAACGAAAATAAAAGACGAATCTGTATTTGATGTGTTTGTCAAATGTTTCTAATTGTGGTCCTAGCTTTTTAAAGGTTTTTTTTCAGCGCTAGGAAAGTAAACCAAATTGCGATTTGTTCTAATGTTACTTACAACGATAGATTTTTATGAACGTAGTGAAGACTCTTACATATGTCCAGGTGATTTTTTTGTTTTTTTTTTCTTGGGAAAAAGTCGTTAATTTATTCACGCTTAATTAAAAGTCGAACCTAGTTGAGACTATTATATAGGTCGCGATGTTTTTTCCAAAATGTCTGTAAATTTGCTTTGGCAACAATTTATTTTTTCGCCTTTTGGCTTTTGTTTTCTTTTAAAATTCAGTTAATTTCCTTTGTTAAAAAGGAAAGCAAACTCCACTATCAAACAGCAAAAGTGTAAGGGTTCCGAAAAACGTGACCGATTTCTAGATTTGAAAGCGGAATTTACTTTGTAGATTTCCCACAGAATTTTTTTTTTCGTTTTGATCCAGTTTTCTTAATTTGGGTTATTTGTATCAAAAAGTTGCCAATCATAATTTAATTTTAAAATTCAATGGGCTTTAAGGGCATCTATTTTTCTTAGAATTTCAAATTAAAAAAAAAACAATTCAGTCTTTTTTCTGGTTGGTTTCATTCATTGACTCTGTTGAAACTGTTTGTTGGCTATATTTTAAAGAGTTGGTGAACATAGTTCAGACTTTTATTTTGGTCGCGATGGTTTTTTCAGGTAATGTCTTAAAATTTGTTCTGGCTCAATTAACTTTTTCGCGGTTTGAAGTTCAGTTGTTTCCTTTCATAAAAAGGAGCCAAACTCCACTATCGAACAGCAAAAGTGTAAAGGTCACAAAAAAGTGATCGAACTCTAGTTTCCAAAGTGTAATTCAATTTTCAGATTTCCCTGCGAAATAAAATTTTGACCTAATGATCCAGTTTTTTACACTTGCGAAGCGGGTGTATTAGTACGAGCCTTCTTTTTTTTCAAAACTTGGTCGCAAATATTGGTGCGGCACATTTTTTAGCGCGGCACTCCAATAATTGTGGGGCACCTTTACAGCTTTTGATAGCACGTGCTTTGAAATTCGAATAGTATTAAGTTAACACAGTTCATTCATTTTTAATTTATCAAATGAACCGAAAAAAGTGATTTGTTTCAAACAACATAACAATAATGAAAACTCGATTTAAGAAATTTTCTAATTCAATAATCCTCGCAATTTTTTAGTTAGTGTGGATGCCTTCAGTTTATCTATATTCCAAATTTTTACTTGCAAAATTATGTCTATTTGTATTTGGTGCCACTTTTGCTGAATGGCATTGGCAACTTATTAGCATATGCAGCTGCTTTATTTGTGGCTAGTATTTGTCGGTTGTTAAGCTTGCGTGGCTGACTGGATAGTGCGTGAGACTTAAAATCTCTTGATTACAGTAGGTCGCAGATTCGAATTCTACAGGTAGCCAAGTTTTTGCTAATTTGAGGCTTTTTTGTATTTTTTTTTAATTTCACTTGATGGAGCTGCTTTTTGGTCGTGTTCTTGCAAATGTTTGGGAAGGGCAGCTTCGCCTCCTTTTACACTTGCGAAGCTAGTGTATTAGTAAGAACCTTTTTTTTCCAACCTAAGTCGCAAATATTGGTGCGGCACCACAAAAATGGTGGGGCACCTTTTCAGCTTTATGATAGCATGTGCTTTGACATTGGAATAGTAATAAGCTAACACACCTGATGCATTTTTAATTCATCAATTGAACTGAAAAATTAATTTGTGTTGAACAAGATAACAATCATGAAAACTCGATTTTTTTTACTCTTGATTACAGTAGGTCGCAGATTCGAATCCTACACGCAGCCGAGTTTTTGCTATTTCGAGGCTCATTTCTACTTTTTTTTTATTTCACTTGATGGCGCTGTTTTTGGTCGTGTTCTCGCAAGTGTTTGCGAAGCGCTGCTTTGCTTCTGTATTCAAATTGGGTCAGTTTCATCAAAAAAGTGTCAATCATAATTTGTTCTAGAAATTCAGAGCTTTGAGGCCATCGGTTTTTCTTGAAATTCGAAAATTGATATTGTTTCAAAAAAGAAGTCCACAATTTTTTCTGTTTATGTGCGTTCATTGACAATTTTCCAACTGTCTGTTGGCTATTGATTTTCTAGTTCTCTCACTCCATCTCTGGTCTATGCCTCCTTTCAACAAGGATAAAATGATTTTCGAGATGCTTCATTTTTGCGATAAACTGAAAATGGTTTAAACAATATGACAATTTATTGACCTTGGTAGGTCAGTAAATCGAAAACTGGTGAACCAGAGATCAGTAAACCAAAAATGGCTCTTTTTAAATATCACCCCCCTTTGGGCCTTGTTAACTAACCCCTTTGCATGTATTATTTTTGACAACCATTTCTGTATAAAATATGCATTTCAAAAATGTCAACAATTAAGTGGGTTTTCATTTTCGCGCGTTCGTATTGTATTACTTAGTGTTTATATAATACCCACGTAAATTTTTTTTAAATATATATGCTTTCTGAAAATTGTTTTAAGCTTTTGAAAAAAATGTGGCCGCCCTTGTTGGATTTCTGAAAATCGAAATAGGTGGAATAGTTTTTAAGATCCCAAAAATGTTTTACTTAGTTTTACTATTCTTCCCCCCCCCCACCCCCACTTTGGACCTTGATAGCTACCACCCCCCCCCCCTATTCGTGTATTATTTTGACAACCATTTCTGTATAAAATGTGCATTTCGAAAATGGCAACAATCAAGTGGGTTTTCATTTTCGCGCGTTGCCGCCATAGATGAATTTCTGAAAATCGAAATAGGTGGGGGGGGGGGGGAGAGAATAGTTAGCAAAATCCCAAAAAACGTTCAAGTCGGTTAAAAAATCACCTGAAATGGAAACTGAGATTTGTACAATGTGACAATTCGTCTTCTCTGATTAATATGTTTATGTATGCTCAATGTATGACTTTGTACGTTAAATAGCGTGTGAGAGGGGATGATTTAAAAAAAGGCTAGCGTGTAACGCACCTCCGGTCCTCATAATAAACCGCATATATTAGAAATAAGATCTGAATTTTTTGAAGTTTTATATAAGTTCTTCGAAAAATTTAAAATGAACTAAGAAAGGTCACATATGGGAAACTAAAAGCAATCGAGCAGTCGCATTTGGACGCAAGATTAGCAACTTTTGAAAAAAGTATTTATTGAGAACCAGATGTCACATTTCGAAAAATACCAAGATTTCAGCAGTTTTTTTTGATGGCAATATTCGCAAAGTACTCTGACAGCACACAGCTACAGGGTTGGGAGTTTCACTTAAGTGAATTGTTTTGTAATTTGAGTTTTCTGAAAATTTCCAAAAAAATAAGAAAGTTGTCTTATTTCATAAACTAAAAAGATTTGGGCGTTCTTAATTGGAGGCCGAATTTGCAACTCCTAAGATTACTCTGACTGCCCCCAACTACAGGTTAGGAATTTCAAACTTTGAAAATAAAAATTATTTTAGTTTTCAAGAAAATTTTTTGAAGCACAAAAAATGTCATATCTAAAAAACTGCAAGGTTTTGAGCAGGCATATTTTGAGGCAAAAATTGCAACTCTTGAGAGTATCATGACAGATGCAAAAAACAGGATTGAGATCTTCAGCGTTTTGGAATTTTTTAAAATCTAAGTTTTTGAAAATTTTTTGAAGAAAATCATTAAAAACGTTATATCTAAAAAACTGCAAGGTTTTGAGCAGGCATATTTTGAGGCAAAAACAGGATTGAGATCTTCAGCGTTTTGGAATTTTTTGAAATCTAAATTTTTGAAATTTTTTTAAAAACAAATCATCAAAAACGTTATATCTTAAAAACTACAAGGTTTTGAGCAGACATATTTAGAGGAAAATTTCAAAATCCTGAGAGTACCTTGACAGAGCCTCATGCGAATATGAGAGATGCGAATATCAAGATATGTGAAATTTTTTTAATCTAATTTTTCTGAAATTTTTTTTTAAATCCTAAAAAAACGTCATATCTCGAAAACTACAAGGATTTGAGCAGCCATAATCAGAGGAAAAAATTGCAACCCTTGAAAACACCCTCACAATTTGGAATTTTTCAAAGTTTTCGAAAAATTTTTGAAAAAATCCTAAGAAACGTCATATCTCGAAAACTACAAGGATTTTAGAAGTGAGATTTGGAGGCAAGATTGGCAACATTTAAGAAAACTCTGACAGCACCCAACTACAGGCTGCGAATTTCAAAAATTGACAAATTTTTTAAAATTAAACTTTCTAGAAAATTTTGAAAAATTTCGAAAATTGCCTATTTCGTAAACTAAAAGTATTTGGTTAATCATATGTGGAGGCCAGAATCGTAAAACCTGCGAAAACTTTGACAACATCTCACTTAGGTTGCTAATTTCAAACTTGATGCAATGAACACTGAATTTAAACAGCAAAATTGAAAAAAAACCTTAACCATAGCAATATACGATATAGCTAAAACGTGCAAAAATTCTTTTGTTAAAGATGCAAAAGTAATACGTTGAAAAAGCCTTATTGTGGCGAGATAGTGAAGCCCGCACTTAAATATATAGTAGATAGATGAAAGTTTAAAAATTAGAAGACGGC